TAGATCTACTGTATCGAGAAGAAGATTAACTTTATTAATCCCTAATGGTATCGCTCCAATTTTTACACACATTGGCCCAAAGTTAAATCACACGCACAGATGCAAATGCGGAGAGAGGATGGACTGCCACAGAGCGGCAGTTAGGGGTTCAGTGCCTTGCTTAAGAGCACCTCAGCAGTGCTCAAGAGGTGGAATTGGCACCTCTCCAGCTGCCAGTCCACACTCCATACTGTGGTCTGTGCTGGACTTGAACCGGCCCCCCTCCAGTTCCCATGCCAAGTCCCTGCAGACTGAGCCAATGCCGCCTGGAGGTGTTATGGTCACACTGGACAAAGAGTGCAGGGATGAGCCAATACTGATACCAGTGTCTGGTATTGGGTCCAATACTGTGCTCATGTACTTGTACTTGTAATCATAAAACTACTCATGTACCACACTAGGGTTTGGCGATATGTAAAAAAAAAAAAAAGAATTCAGTCCAACAACCCCACCAACCTCATTTGTTGCTTGGCTGAGTGTCGTCATTAACCATTAAAGTAGCAAAATAAAATGACAAATATCACACCCTAAAAAAACTCAATCAATCACCAATGGCTCAACCCTATACCACATCTAATACCACTTCACAGCAGTGTGACATTACATAACCTCTTCTTAACTGAGCAAGTAAGTGAATGAGAAGCAATGTGAACAGTTTGGAGATATTTTAGACAACTTTCCGACAATATTAGCAACATTTAACGTGTTGTAGTCAGACAGTGAGGAACATCGGATGAATATGAAACACGCTGTTAGACCTGCAGTGGTAATATTCAATACTTATATCAGTACTCTGTCTCAGCAAGTACCCAAATGTAAATACTTGTAATAAAAAAGTGGTACTGGTGCATCCTGAAAAGAGTGGAATGGGAACTGTGTGGCCACTTGTCTAACTAAAGTTGGGTGAATTTACATCTATCTATTTATTTAATGTTCCTTAAGTCAACTGTAGCTGCATGGTGGAGCACAAGCTGCAGTCATTCAGGAATTATCCAGTGCTCAACCATGGATTTTGTGTACTGCGCTTGCACTGAGGCCTCAGTGTTTATTGACATGCTAATGGTTGAGTCGAGATCTACAGCTTTGTTCTAAGCACTGACAGCGAGTGCAGTCTGCTGGCAAACAGACAGACAGTCAAGAGGCTTCAAGCCTGTGCACTGCAGCACAACCTCTAGAGGTGTTAAGGTGCACAAAGCACCCAGTCAGCCCTTCTTCAGTAATATCAGCTAAACCTGCAGATAAATGGGCTGTGAACCGAGTAAACAGCGGTCACATGTACGGACCAGTTTTCAATTACCTTGCGGTTAACCCTGCCAGGAGGTCTCTGTCGCTGCACAGCACAGCAGCTCATCCCTGCATCCCTGCCTCTCTGTTTCACTCTGCTCTCCTCACTCTGCTCCTTCAGCATGCAACTGTTGTATTTGCACATTTCTCATAATGAGGAGCACTTGAGTTGGCCCATCATACTGCAGTCACACTCAAGTTAAAATTGACTCCAGTTTTATTCCTCATTTTTTAATGACGGGGTGTCTCAGGTTTATCACGACGGTCCGCTCCACTCAGCGTCTGGTGTGAACAGCTACACTGACTGACATGGTTGAAATGTTAAAAAGGTTTTTACTTCACCATACCCAGCGCAGTAACCAACTGTCGAGTTTCAAACTAAATATGCACCTATGTAGGTGACCTGAGTGAGGAGTTTAAACACAATAAACGTTTTTCAGGACAGCATAGATCATTTCTAGGATATTTGGTCATTTCAATCCATTTCTTTTATCATGACTGGGAAACTAGTCTCTAAATTTCCCAGGTTTTCCAGGACACGTGGGAACCCTGGCAGTGAAAAAGTTTGCGACTCTTTAACTGCTGGATCCTTATTACCTTCACAAAGTCTGATGATGATGAGATACTACTGCTGGTGATAGTTTGCAGATGGATTATGAACTATAATAGCTTTTATAAGTAGCCATAAGTGTACACATTAGGGTGGATATCCCCACCTCCTCCTGCTGCATGTTGAAGTGTCTTGAGCAAGATACTGAACCAGCAATGTGTGAATAAGTATTACTCTGTTTGTGATGGCCTTTGCCTGTGTGAATGGGTGAGTGTGGCAGTAGTGTAAAGCTAGAGACCAGAAAGGCATATATAAATACAGTCCATTTACCATGTACTATTTACATTAAGGTCACTGTTCCTTTTATTGCTGTGTTATCAGTGGTGAAGCCAAACGTATTTGCATATAATTGACTCAAAAAGTATGTAGCTGCATTTATGTATTTTTCCATAGAAGTGTAGTCTTTATCCAACATAGACACTACACACATGTAAAGACTTTCATAAACTGGGTACACAGTCATCAGTGCCAGGGACAAACAAAATGGACATTTATTTATAGAGATACTTTCAGGATCAAAATTCATAGAGCATGATGCATAGATGAGTCAGCTGCAGTGGTCTATGCATTCTAAAAATATCCCTTTACATCTCTTTGCATCCTCTCCATTCATTGATTTCCTTCCACGGACTGACAAATGACAGTGGCTCATCAGAATGGGATACGGGACACTATGGCTCCTACCTGTCTGAATTCACATAATCGCGCTAATGTCTGAAATGTCCTGACTGATTCCTGTCCCAACACCTGTCAATCATCACTAGCGGAAATTAGCTTCTCAGACATGAAGATTTTCTTCGTGCAGCAGCATAGCGCCAAGAGGCAGGACTCATGCTGTATATGATATGTCATTAGGACCCCTTTGTGGAAGAGTGTGCACATAGCAATAGAATACCTACACATATAACTCCCTAGTTAAACTAACTGCTCACTCTCCAATGACTCTTCAAACTTACACACTCTCTCTCTGCTCTGACCCCCCTGTCTCTTCTCTCTGTTTGTGTCTCACCTCGCAGCCCTCAGTAGAGTGTTTAACAGAGGCTATAGGGAGATTTCGTGGATGATGGGGGTAAATGTGGAAAATGACTGGTGCATGACGTACACTGCTGCAATAGGGAGATGGTGAGGAGAGGTACAGTGCTGTCTGTGAGCCACTTTCTCTCTGTTTGCTTGTTGGACTTGAAATGTTATTTGTCACACTGAAAGTGAAGCAAAAGTGCAACTTTGCAGAAATATACTAGATGGTAAAAAGAAGCATTATCAGCACATTAGTAAGGTAGAGATAGGTATTTAACCTCAATACCTTCTGAGTACTGATAGAAATGTACCTGTAGTACTAAGTATGGAAAACGGTCACATACCAAAGATAGCATAACATTTTTTTCAAATCGACTGAATATCATTCAATAATATAATGTTGCCATGGTAAGACTTATTTAGCTCTGGGCTACAGCTTGAGTCCTGTTTTTTCCTTTATCATTTATTTGTGTCCTGGTAGCTCATCTGGTAGAGCTGCACCCCATGTACCTGCCCTTTGCTGCGTTTCATCCCCTCTCTCTCCCCCTTTCCTGTCACTCTTCAGCTATCTCAATTATAAGGCAATAAAAGCCCTAAAAGATACTTTAAGAAAAAAAAAAGTTTGCCAAATTAGCTATTAGAAGTTCACAGTTCCCGTTTTTCAGTGTATCTGTGGGTGTACAGACAACTACCACTGGAATACTGAGATAGTGAAGATAACGTTGTCCTCGGAATGTGTAAATCACACCGAATCTAAAAATATGTGTATCAGAGTTTTAAGGTTTCAACTCATCAAAGCCAGCAGCAATCAGGCACTAAGTGATTTGAGTCAGGTATAATACAGTATATGAAAGCAGTGCAAACATATGTAAATACGCATCCTTGTTTTTATTTAAGTATCAGAGGATTGTTTCAACACAGACCTTTTCTCTTGTAACACAGGGTGTCCCTTACTTAGTGGTGCACTGCTGCATATGCTAACTAGATGCTGCCATTAGCTACTTAGCAGTCCTATTAGCTGACTATACTCGGACTGGGAGTTTGGAGGACGGGCGTTTGGTTTGTTTTCACTACTAACATAGGACATGGGGGAATGCCACAGGGAGCGGGGCTTGAATGAGCACCAGGCAGTGGAAATGGGCTCAAAGCCTGCAAGACTGATCGATGGAGGTCAGCTGATTTAACAGTGGTTCCCACCAGGACTCTGACTCTGTGGATGAAGACATGGCGGGTTCAGGCAGGAACAGAAGAGGAATGAAATGGAGAAAGAGCATCAAGTTTGTAGCGAATTAATTTGCAATGTTGACGTTATGCATCATCCATCATATCAATAAGTCTACCAGTATTTGTTTCAGTGAAGTTGGAAGTTATTTATTCTGTGATTTCAGACATGGCCCCCTTCCGCAAACAAAGAGCTGAAGGAAATGCTAATTTACCCAGGACATTCAACTCCAGACAGTATGCTTATTCAGTTTCTTTGAATCAACAATCTCAAGCTCGCCAATTAACAAGTTGTATCTCATTTGTTTAATCTGCAAACCAACAGAAACATATAAACAATGAACAAATTAGTGTAAGTGTTCTAATTATTATGGGTCCAGTTGACAGAGACACTATAGAAAAGACCTGTGAAAGATTGAGAGTGAAAACAGTGTTGTCTCCCCTTATCTGGACCCCTTTTGTGGTCACCTGATATGCACAAAAGGTTGGAACGTATTGATACTTATTGGATAAAACTGAATTCACATTTTACTCAAAATTGTATTATGGTTTGTATAGATTTGGAGCTCCTTCTCAAACAGAATGCAAAAATATTGCCAATCGTTTAAAATTTCATTGACAAAAAAGTAAGATAATGTTATTTTCATGCATCTTCTAAATTATGTTTGTTTTTGAAAATGTTGCAACCTTGCCATTCTAGAAAGTACACAACACAAAATGCCTTTTTCATCGGTAGAATAAACAAAAACTGACACCAATTCAAACTATTTCTACTGAGGACAAAGGGGGCTGAGGGGGCATTCAGAAGCAGAGAGGGAGTGGGACTAACCTGTCTGATGGTCCTGGCCACCAGGCTTTCCAGTACTGGGCCTCGGTCTTCATGGAGAAGGTGAACTTCATCCAAGATTAGGAGACGCACAATTTGGGACAGAGCCACGTCTCCGACACTCTTCCTGGTCACAACATCCCACTTCTCTGGAGTTGTCACCAACATCTGGAAACAAACATGAAGACATTAGGAACACCAATTCAACACAATGCAGTTCCAATTCAACACAATACACTTTAGAAAGCTAAGTGTTTAATAAAAAACAAACAGACAATATAAAAAAAAGATTTTAAAAAACCCTGCTAAAAAGAGACTATTCATGGGCATAATGATAAAGAGGCACCAATGTGGCACTGAAACCAAATTAATTTGTTATGGTAAACTAATATTAATGTGTTAAGTTTTTGTGATGCTTCAATGCTTCCTGTGATTACATGTGAAGGCGTAACCACATCGGCAGGTGCTGACTGTGCAAGCAACTAAATAAAACTTGATCAAGTTTATCTAAAAACTACAGTGCTGTCCATAAATATTGGTACAGTTTTCTGCAGGCTCTGTACTCTATATCCACATTTAGTAAACCATGCAATAAGTATCCACAAGCGGATACTACCCCAATATGGGTGTGACTATTCTTGAAGATAAAGCTGAAAGTCAGCACTAAGTTTATCACTTTTTAATTAGATCTAATTTAAAAAAAAAAATGTTTAGTTAGTTTGAACTTCATTGATTTTCAAAGTGTGACCTGTTTCAAATCAAAATGATGGACAGCAGGGAGCAAAGCATGGAGGAAAGCTTCCGGAGCAGACAACTGCATCGCCAAAGCATCTGAGAAATAACCATCACCGATAAGACTATAAGATTTATACGCAAGGATATGCGGCCCACTGGTGCGGTAAGAGTGAATGTCTTGTCCTTTAGTCTTTAAGCTATGTTTTCCCATGTGTTGTCATACATTTGTACTATGTGTAATAAGTATTTTTTTTAAATTTGATTGAACGTCACTTTTTGAAAAAAATGACAGCCTTAGTCAGCACTCTAACCTCATAGTCACTGCTTAATTTAATGTGCAATACATTCAAAAATAAATGTACTGCATATAAATTCAATTTAAAACATAAAGAAATGCTATTACATCAGCTCAAAAGACAAGGACTGATGTTATATCTTCTTACAAACCTTCATGTACAGTCGTAGTTTTGAGAATGACACAAATATACATTTTCACAAGTATGCTGAATCAGTTTTTATGATGGCAATTTGCATATACTCCAGAATGTTATGAAGAGTGATCAGATGAATTGCAATTAATTGCAAAGTCTCTCTTTGCCATGAAAATGAACTTAATCCCAAAGTGTCCACTGCATTTCATGTGACCAAGGCTTCAAGAAAGTCCAGCAAGCGCCAGGACCGTCTCCTAAAGTTGATTCAGCTGTGGTATCAGGGCACCACCAGTGCAGGGCTTGCTCAGGAATGGCAGGTGTGAGTGCATCTGCACGCACAGTAAGGTGAAGACTTCTGGGGAATCGCCTGGTGTCAAGAAGGGCTGGAAAGAAGCCAATTCTGTCCAGTAAAAACCTCAGGGACAGACTGATATTCTGCAAAAGGTACAGGGATTGGACTGCTGAGGACTGGGGTAAAGTCATTTTCTATGATGAATCCCCTTTCCGATTGTTTGGGGCATCCGGAAAAAAGCTTGTCCGGAGAAGAAAAGGTTAGCGCTACCATCAGTCCTTATCATGGCAACAGTAAAGCATCCTGAGACCATTCATGTGTGGGGTTGCTTCTCAACCAAGGGAGTGGGCTCACTCTAAATTTTGCTTAAGAACACAGCCATGAATAAAGAATGGTACCAAAACATCCTCCGAGGATAACTTCCCCCAACCATCCAAGAACAGTTTGGTAACGAACAATAGCTTTTCCAGCATGATGGAGCACCTTGCCATAAGGAAAAAGTGATAACTAAGTGCCTCGGGGAACGAAACATCAACATTTTGGGTCCATGGCCAGGAAACTCCCCAGACCATAATCCCATTGAGAACTTGTGGTCAATCCTGAAGAGGCGGGTGGACAAACAAAAACCCACAAATTCTGGCAAACGCCAAGCATTGATTATGCAAGAATGGGCTGCCATCAGTCAGGATGTGGCCCAGAAGTTCATTGAAAGCTTGCCGGGGCGAATTGCAGAGGTCTTGAAAAAGAAGGGTCAACACCACAAATACTGACTCCTTGCATAAACTTAATGTAAATGTCAAGAAACATTTTTGACACTTATGAAATGCTTGTAAACTTCTAACCAAAGGGTGGAGTTTGAAGAATGTGGGAATTTATTAGCTAAGGTGGGTCTAACAAAAATAAAACATCAATGCACCTTGTAATGTCACGTTCACATAATTCGTCCTATTGATTGGTTGCAGAATGTCACGAAGGCCGGTCTGGCTGCGTGTGCATGTGAGTCCTTCTGTTTCAAACTGAGTAGAGTGACTGACATTGTTGTTTTGCTCATCTACAAATGTGAGGGATTTAGTTCGACTAAGCCAGAGTTTGTTCTTTGTTGGAACAGTTGAAAGACTGATAAAGACTGCTTGGTGGAGTGTTACTATGTTTCTGTCCATTCTGAATGAAGTTAGGATGTTACTATAATATGCAAGGTAAAATTACTGCTTTTGTTTATGGAGTCTGTTGGTGAGCGATGGCAATATTACGGCTGTTTCTGCTTAAACTAAAAGTCGATCTCTGCAGGGATTCTTTTATTAATGTTGTCAGATTGGACACTTTAATGGATGCATTTGCCAAAGACAGTTTTGGTGAGTTTTATTTAGTTTCTGTCCAGTTGGACAAGTGTTTTATAATTATTTACTGGTTTTGCAGGTGTAGCATCCATTGTTTTGAATCAGAATCAGAATCACTTCTATTGGCCAGGTATGTGTGCACATACAAGGAATTTGACTGAGGTTTTATGTTGCTCTCAATGTACAAACATAGATTAACAGTACAAATAAACAGAAAGTTTTAAAAAAAAAAAGACAGACTTATATGTACAGTTATATATATCTATAAACAAACATTTGTAGACAGTAGATAATAGTGCAATGGTGCAGAGTGCAAAGGATGCTGAAATAAATATTTTACGCATAAGTCTGAGATGCTGGTGTTCTAGTGCAACATCTAGTGGCAAGTGGATTTTGTATATATAACCTTTAAGAATGCACAGAATAAGGAATATGGTAATGTGTCCCTCTCTTACACTAAAATTGCTTAAAGAAGGAATTTATTTCCAGTCTGTATTAACCGGGAAAACAATTACAACAAATGGGCATTTGAGTATTTACCCTATCCTTTAAACCAAACTAAGGACTAAACGTTAGGATATATCCCATCTGGGCCTCAGCTGCTCAGACTTTGACCTTTTTATCATCTGTCTGTTGTGAGTTTATGGAAGTCCAATATTAAATTCCCTCAGTACTCTTTTAAAGGTTGTCCAAAAATAAATTAGAACTAGTCACACTACTCTTTGTGCAATGGTGCCAGTACTTTATATATACAGTCCTACAATTTTCATGGAATGCACAGAGAATATTGAGATTATTGTTGAGATAAACGTTCTCCACAATTTCCCGCTCACTTAACTGAATGACACACGCTGTAAAACCCAGAGCAACACAACCAAAATCCCTCCAGAATACTATGTCAGATTCACGGCTCATTAATGCCCAATTGCCCGTATCTCCACTCATTACAATGCAGATAGAAGCACCTAAATCATAACTCCACAATATAACAGATGTATAACATTACTCTCATCTTGTGTGCCGGGATACATTAGTTCTACAGTGTTTACCAGATGTATGTCAATGTCAGTCTAAGATCCACTACATCCACAAGTTTTGAGGGCTATGATCAACAGTCAGCATACGTTCTTCTATCTGTTTACTTCGGCATTCCTTACACTAATTATATTCAACAGTATCTACACATCTCAGCTGTATCAAATGTCAGCAGACACTGTCTTTGCGTGCTGCTTAGTGCCAATAATTCCAGAGCAACAATAGTCTCTGTTTTCAAGAAAAACACTACAATGCATAATTAATGGTGTGTGAACTGTTTGGCAACCTGTCCGTGGGTGTGCAAATTCCTATTAAACGCTTTCTGTAAAAGCAGTTCATTAAATCCTCTCTAGTTTGCATTTAAATCAATCTATCCAGCCATTAGAGGCTGGCGTGCTCACAGAAAAGGAAGCGCCTGCTCCTAATTGGAGCTACTGGTTAATCTAAATGGAGGCTCTGGCAAATGGAGCACAGGCCAAAGGGCTTTCTTAATTGCCTCACAAATACACACAAGTTGGTGCAGAGAAAGCAGGGCATTGTTTGGCTGAACTGTGTTATTTAGCCTACTTATCAATAGATCTCAGCAGGACTGAAATCAATCATCTAAATCCACTCTTTCTTAGTATTTCATGGAAGATGGTAATGTTTCTTAAACAATCTAATTAGAGAATGGGTTCATAAACCTGTGCAAAAACATAATAGCCTGTGAGAATTGCTCTTGTTATTAATTCATTGCTAAACTAAAGAGCACAAGCATTAGTAGAAGCAGGATGTTTAAATAAAGAGAACAGGAGTGCAGGACGTTTTTATGGAATCAGGATGGTGGCTGTCTTTTAAAGCATGTCAAAAGTTTTGGATTGATTTCCTACTTGTGAGCACACTACTGCACACCTCAGTTAGGGATAATTGCCCGAGATAGATCTTTTCTGGTCAAATGTACATTGTCATGTGTGATTGTACCTGCAAGCTTTGAAAGATATTATTAGTGGTTCATTCATGGAACAAACATCAGGTTCTGATGCCAAAAAACACTGACAAACTATGTCCTCATGAAATAAGGCAATAACGCAAATATCCTCAGACGAGACGAAGCGACTAATTACGTTTCTATTGATTTCCTCGTGAAACGGAAGAACAATGGTTTTCTACTGAATACCCTACACCAATCGGAGGAAAAGCTGATGGCTGCTGACGACTGGTTCTCTGTTTATAATAAGCTACCAGGACTTGAGGATGTGGAAACACATTGCTCTAGAAACTATTTAATCTTGTAAATGGCGTGCTCTACAAACCTACAACCTTCAGGCTCATGTGAGCAAGAGAGCATGCCACTTCAAT